TTGGGTCCCTTGGAGCTCATAATGACACTCATAATTTATAATCTCTATTCCACAGAAAACATCCTCAGGGCTTTTGTAGCAGCTGGAGAAAGGACCAGGCTGCTTTCCGAGCAGCCTCTACTGAGGAGAATGCAGAAACTGAGCTCCCCTCGACTCTCCAGGAAAACTTCATCTTGCAGTTTCCCCACAGAAATGGGCAGCTCTGCTCAAGAGTCACAAACAGGGAAATTTATGAGCAGCTTACTGAGGCAGAGGCTTGCAGGTCTCTCTGAAGGGCTTCAACGCGATCTCTCAGCTGTTGGACAGTGGTTTCCAGTCTGGTGTTTTCACTTTGAGAGCTTCAGAAGAAATACAGGTCTTATTACCAGAAAATCCAATGCAAGACAAACTGTGTTAAGTAACAGAATCCAAAGCAGAAGTATCTTTCAAAATCAGACTGACTCTCCTGTTGTTTCTGCCCAGTCCCCCAAAGCTACAGACCCCTCTGTGCAGACAAGCTCTGCACCTGTTTGAAAGAGCAGCTTTACCCACACGCCAAGGTTACCTGGTTCTGAGCATCACTCTTGGCATTATGCTGGAGTAACAGCCCTGCCACAGCTGTATTTTTGGACAGCACAGCCAGGTGAAGGGCAGTGTTACCGTCAGCATCTGCCAGATTCGGGTCGGCACCGTGTTCCAGCAGAAGAGCAACACATTCTTCCTGCTCCTGCTGTACTGCCTGGGAACAACACACAGAAAGGGAAAGACTTGCAACTTTTACATCCCCCTCTGTAACAACTCCCTCAACTCCTGAATGCTGGGAGAGAAGAGCATCTTCAAAGATTAGCTAACAGATGCTTGAGCCATGCTGAATGCAACTTGCATGTTTCTATGGGCCTGAGGGGCAAGGAATCCTGCCAGACATCTCCTCTTTAACACAGCAGCACTAACCCCACCTACAAGATGTTAAGGCATTACAAGATGTTAAGGGCACCCGAGCTCTCAAGAAATGCCCACTGAGCGCTCCAAGCCTGCCATGCCAGAGTTCCGGGACAATTCCCCAACGCCTTTGTCTTGGCCCTCTTGAAGAGCAGACACCTCACCCCCACCCCATCCTCACTGCTGGCACCTGCTGCTTTGCCAGATGCCAACAGGGAATTTCTGCTCTGCTGCTCCACCAGCCAAGCGGCAGCACACAGCAGGGCAGGGAGAAACTTTAAAACACATCTTGTCCCCGTTTGTCCCAATGACAAAACAAAGTGAAGGCCCAGAGGTTCCGCACCAGCTTTCTCAGGGCAGAGACGCTACAATGTACCACTGTTATAATCTGCTTAAATACTGCAGAAAGAACTTCAGATTTGGATATTCCCCTGAGCAAAATTAAAACTCACATAAGTTATCTGTTGATACCAAAATCTGATTTTATTAATTGCTAAGAGATGCAAAGAGAAAGAGAAAAACAAAAAGGTTGGAAAATGCTTTAGATTATATTTTAGAAGCAGAGAAAAGATACCACCATACCACCTTTCCTGCCAAGCTGGTGTGTGTGTGTGAAGGGGGGAAGTAGTTTTCTGCCTTTTTTTTTTCCCTCAGTATCTGCTGCATTTTTGATGTTCTCTTTTTAGCTTCAGGGGGTCTGACAGCTTTAGTCCTCTGGAACTCACACCCAGCCATGTCCCAGGCTGTGCAGGGTCCCGTTAAGCTGCACTTTTAGCCCTTCAGAAATATTACAAGGCTAGAAGGAAAAGGTAGAACATGTGGCACGGTGGTCTCAGCTCTCTCCAGGCCGGCACAGTTCCAGTCTCCGGTGGCAGGCAGGCAGCACGCTGTGGTGGAGAAAAGGGGAGGGGAGGAGGGCAGAGATTCTCAGCTACAGTCACCAGCTCTTCCTCCCTTTTCTGTCCCCTGATTTTCCAAAATTTTTCCTCAGTTTTTATAGTGTTCAAAGGAGGTTATACGTGGTTTCTTGGCACATAGCCAGCTCAGATGTTCGAGGAGATAAGAAATCCTTCCTTAAACAATGGAAGGATCTATTGACAGGAAAACTGATGTGAGAAGTCCTGGTGACACATTCTAGCAGAAAGCTGATAGAGAATGTTTGGTAAGAAGTTTATGATATGCAGAAACAATGGCGAAACATATTTTTTGGTATTTCTTTATTATCTGTGTGGTACACCTTCCAAGACATGCCCCTTCAGCTGGCTTAAGGGTTCCTGCAGTCCCTGGGTTCTTATCTTCGCCAGCTCCAAGAAAGGAAACCAAAATCAATGCATGACTTTAGCAGCACATCAGCCAAACCCCAACCGTTCCCACACTCACCGTCTCCTAAGTGCACCCACCTCCTTGTGTCACTGTCTTCAGCAAGAGGTGCAGCTTGCAGCTCCCACTGCATGGCACACCTGGAACAGGGAACAAAAGCTTTCAGTGGCATTTCTGACCCTTCCCTGGACCCCTGCTCCTCCTCGATACCTCCCCGACTCACCTGGGACACTCATTTCTTGCCAAAGGTTACCGGGCTGGCACCTCAAAAGAGAAGAGGGCAATGCTTAAATGCCCAGGCCTGAAGTCCCTGCCATTGCCCACAAGGCCAGCAGAAGAGCACCTGAGCTTGTCGCTCGGCTCTTTGACCCGTGGCTCTGCTCCTCTGGCAATACGGATGAGCACTGCAAAGAAATCACAGAGGCAAAAGCAAATCCAGACGGATCCCCTCCGAGTGCCACATTCTGACCAAAGTTCCCCTCTCCGCTTCCTTTACGCTCACCTCTTACTGCAAGGACCTCCTTCCCATTCTGCTCATGCTTGCCAGGTTGTGCACCATCAGAAAAAAAGCAAATGGCAAAGGATGTGCTTAGATTCACCAAAATTTCAACACGCTAGAAGTACCTTCTGATTCTTACTGGCAGGAAAATGCTGACCTTATTTGTCTGTACTCCAGTGCTGTTAGCCCCAAAAATGACCTGCATCCCGACCTGAAAGAAAGAACAAAAGGATGCTCACAGAATGAGCACTGACAAGAAGGGTTGGAGACAAACTTGGATTCTGGGTGGCAGGAAAATGCTCACCTTGTTCGTCTGCCCTCTGGTGCCGATAGCCCAAACCAACGCTTGCATCCCACCTCGAAACAAAAGAGCAAAAACACTCTCATAGAATGACCACTGACAAGAAGGGCCAGAGAAAACTTTGGATGCAGGCTGGATGGAAAATGCTGACCTTGCTCGTCTGCCCTCGGGTGCCGATAGCCCAAACCAACGCTTGCATCCCACCTCGAAAGAAAGAACAAAGAGAGGTTCACACAATGACCTCTGACAAGAAGGACCTGTAAGAACTGCAAAGACAGACTCACAAAAATGTTACATGGGGGATATGCTATGCTCTGCCCTGCACACCCTAGTGCTGCCTGTAATACTCAGCCTCTCTGCTTCCCTCTCCTAGGGGACTTCATCTTAAACATTCCGTTCCCTATGCTGATTTCAAAAGCCCTCATGGCAATTCCCAAGCCTGTACCCAGCTCTCATCCCCTCTCTGCCTCAGAGTCCCCCACTTATCTTGCAGAGAGACGAGACTGGCAATCCACCTTCCAAAAGCATGTCCCTTCAGCTGCCTCAGGGCTTCCTGCAGTCCCTGGCTTCTTCTCTTTGTCAGCTCCAAGAAAGGAAACCAAAATCAGTGCATGACTTTAGCAGCACATCGGCCAAACGCCAACCGTTCCCACACTCACCGTCTCCTAAGTGCACCCACCTCCTTGTGTCACTGTCTTCAGCAAGAGGTGCAGCTTGCAGCTCCCACTGCATGGCACACCTGGAACAGGGAACAAAAGCTTTCAGTGGCATTTCTGACCCTTCCCTGGACCCCTGCTCCTCCTCCATACCTCCCCGACTCACCTGGGACGCTCATTTCTTGCCAAAGGTTACCGGGCTGGCCCCTCAAAAGAGAAGAGGGCAATGCTTAAATGCCCAGGCCTGAAGTCCCTGCCATTGCCCACAAGGCCAGCAGAAGAGCACCTGAGCTTGTCGCTCGGCTCCTCGACCCGTGGCTCTGCTCCTCTGGCAATACGGATGGGCACTGCAAAGAAATCACAGAGGCAAAAGCAAATCCAGACGGATCCCCTCCGAGTGCGACATTCTGACCAAAGTTCCCCTCTCCGCTTCCTTTACGCTCACCTCTTACTGCAAGGACCTCCTTCCCATTCTGCTCATGCTTGCCAGGTTGTGCACCATCAGAAAAAAAGCAAATGGCAAAGGATGTGCTTAGATTCACCAAAATTTCAACACGCTAGAAGTACCTTCTGATTCTTACTGGCAGGAAAATGCTGACCTTATTTGTCTGTACTCCAGTGCTGTTAGCCCCAAAACCGACCTGCATCCCGATCCTGAAAGAAAGAACAAAAGGATGCTCACAGAATGAGCACTGACAAGAAGGGTTGGAGATAAACTTGGATTCTGGGTGGCAGGAAAATGCTCACCTTGTTCGTCTGCCCTCCGGTGCCGATAGCCCAAACCAACGCTTGCATCCCACCTCGAAAGAAAGAACAAAGAGAGGTTCACACAATGACCTCTGACAAGAAGGACCTGTAAGAACTGCAAAGACAGACTCACAAAAATGTTACATGGGGGATATGCTATGCTCTGCCCTGCACACCCTAGTGCTGCCTGTAATACTCAGCCTCTCTGCTTCCCTCTCCTAGGGGACTTCATCTTAAACATTCCGTTCCCTACGCTGATTTCAAAAGCCCTCATGGCAATTCCCAAGCCTGTACCCAGCTCTCATCCCCTCTCTGCCTCAGAGTCCCCCACTTATCTTGCAGAGAGACGAGACTGTCAATCCACCTTCCAAAAGCATGTCCCTTCAGCTGCCTCAGGGCTTCCTGCAGTCCCTGGGTTCTTCTCTTTGTCAGCTCCAAGAAAGGAAACCAAAATCAGTGCATGACTTTAGCAGCACATCGGCCAAACGCCAACCGTTCCCACACTCACCGTCTCCTAAGTGCACCCACCTCCTTGTGTCACTGTCTTCAGCAAGAGGTGCAGCTTGCAGCTCCCACTGCATGGCACACCTGGAACAGGGAACAAAAGCTTTCAGTGGCATTTCTGACTCTTCCCTGGACTGTGCTCCTCCTCGATACCTCCCCGACTCACCTGGGACGCTCATTTCTTGCCAAAGGTTACCGGGCTGGTCCCTCAAATAAGAAGAGGGCAATGCTTAAATGCCCAGGCCTGAAGTCCCTGCCACTGCCCACAAGGCCAGCAGAAGAGCACCTGAGCTTGTCGCTCGGCTCCTCGACCCGTGGCTCTGCTCCTCTGGCAATACGGATGGGCACTGCAAAGAAATCACAGAGGCAAAAGGAAATCCAGACGGATCCCCTCCGAGTGCGACAATCTGACCAAAGTTCCCCTCTCAGCTTCCTTTACGCTCACCTCTTACTGCAAGGACCTCCTTCCCATTCTGCTCATGCTTGCCAGGTTGTGCACCATCAGAAAAAAAGCAAATGGCAAAGGATGTGCTTACATTCACCAAAATTTCAACACGCTAGAAGTACCTTCTGATTCTTACTGGCAGGAAAATGCTGACCTTATTTGTCTGTACTCCAGTGCTGTTAGCCCCAAAAACGACCTGCATCCCACATGAAAGAAAGAACAAAAGGATGCTCACAGAATGAGCACTGACAAGAAGGGTTGGAGATAAACTTGGATTCTGGGTGGCAGGAAAATGCTCACCTTGTTCGTCTGCCCTCTGGTGCCGATAGCCCAAACCAACGCTTGCATCCCACCTCGAAACAAAAGAGCAAAAACACTCTCATAGAATGACCACTGACAAGAAGGGCCAGAGAAAACTTTGGATACAGGCTGGATGGAAAATGCTGACCTTGCTCGTCTGCCCTCCGGTGCCCATAGCCCAAACCAACGCTTGCATCCCACCTCGAAAGAAAGAACAAAGAGAGGTTCACACAATGACCTCTGACAAGAAGGACCTGTAAGAACTGCAAAGACAGACTCACAAAAATGTTACATGGGGGATATGCTATGCTTTGCCCTGCACACCCTAGTGCTGCCTGTAATACTCAGCCTCTCTGCTTCCCTCACCTAGGGGACTTAATCTTAAACATTCCGTTCCCTACGCTGATTTCAAAAGCCCTCATGGCAATTCCCAAGCCTGTACCCAGCTCTCATCCCCTCTCTGCCTCAGAGTCCCCCACTTATCTTGCAGAGAGATGAGACTGTCAATCCACCTTCCAAAAGCATGTCCCTTCAGCTGCCTCAGGGCTTCCTGAAGTCCCTGGGTTCTTCTCTTTGTCAGCTCCAAGAAAGGAAACCAAAATCAGTGCATGACTTTAGCAGCACATCGGCCAAACCCCAACGTTCCCACATTCACCGTCTCCTAAGTGCACCCACCTCCTTGTGTCACTGTCTTCAGCAAGAGGTGCAGCTTGCAGCTCCCACTGCATGGCACACCTGGAACAGGGAACAAAAGCTTTCAGTGGCATTTCTGACCCTTCCCTGGACCCCTGCTCCTCCTCGATACCTCCCCGACTCACCCGGGACGCTCATTTCTTGCCAAAGGTTACCGGGCTGGCCCCTCAAAAGAGAAGAGGGCAATGCTTAAATGCCCAGGCCTGAAGTGCCTGCCATTGCCCACAAGGCCAGCAGAAGAGCACCTGAGCTTGTCGCTCGGCTCCTCGACCCGTGCCTCTGCTCCTCTGGCAATACGGATGGGCACTGCCATGAAATCACAGAGGCAAAAGGAAATCCAGACGGATCCCCTCCGAGTGCGACATTCTGACCAAAGTTCCCCTCTCCGCTTCCTTTACGCTCACCTCTTACTGCAAGGACCTCCTTCCCATTCTGCTCATGCTTGCCAGGTTGTGCACCATCAGAAAAAAAGCAAATGGCAAAGGATGTGCTTACATTCACCAAATTTTGAACACGCTAGAAGTACCTTCTGATTCTTACTGGCAGGAAAATGCTGACCTTATTTGTCTGTACTCCAGTGCTGTTAGCCCCAACAACCACCTGCATCCCGACCTGAAAGAAAGAACAAAAGGATGTTCACAGAATGAGCACTGACAAGAAGGGTTGGAGATAAACTTGGATTCTGGGTGGCAGGAAAATGCTCACCTTGTTCGCCTGCCCTCTGGTGCCGATAGCCCAAACCAACGCTTGCATCCCACCTCGAAACAAAAGAGCAAAAACACTCTCATAGAATGACCACTGACAAGAAGGGCCAGAGAAAACTTTGGATACAGGCTGGATGGAAAATGCTGACCTTGCTCATCTGCCCTCCGGTGCCGATAGCCCAAACAAACGCTTGCATCCCACCTCGAAAGAAAGAACAAAGAGAGGTTCACACAATGACCTCTGACAAGAAGGACCTGTAAGAACTGCAAAGACAGACTCACAAAAATGTTACATGGGGATATGCTATGCTCTGCCCTGCACACCCTAGTGCTGCCTGTAATACTCAGCCTCTCTGCTTCCCTCTATTAGGGGACTTCTTCTTAAACATTCCATTCCCTACGCTGATTTCAAAAGCCCTCATGGCAATTCCCAAGCCTGTACCCAGCTCTCATCCCCTCTCTGCCTCAGAGTCCCGCACTTAACTTTCAGAGAGACGAGACTGTCAATCCACCTTCCAAAAGCATGTCCCTTCAGCTGCCTCAGGGCTTCCTGCAGTCCCTGGGTTCTTCTCTTTGTCAGCTCCAAGAAAGGAAACCAAAATCAGTGCATGACTTTAGCAGCACATCGGCCAAACGCCAACCGTTCCCACACTCACCGTCTCCTAAGTGCACCCACCTCCTTGTGTCACTGTCTTCAGCAAGAGGTGCAGCTTGCAGTTCCCACTGCATGGCACACCTGGAACCGGGAACAAAAGCTTTCAGTGGCATTTCTGACCCTTCCCTGGACCCCTGCTCCTCCTCGATACCTCCCGACTCACCTGGGACGCTCATTTCTTGCCAAAGGTTACCGGGCTGGCCCTCAAAAGAGAAGAGGGCAATGCTTAAATGCCCAGGCCTGAAGTCCCTGCCATTGCCCACAAGGCCAGCAGAAGAGCACCTGAGCTTGTCGCTCGGCTCGACC